GGTCATCTTACCCAAAGAAATATACAAGTTCAGTGCAATCCCTATCAAGTCTCCAATGGCATTCTTCAAAGAAATAGAACAAACATAACTGAAATTAATATGGAATCACAGCAGACCCCAAATAGCCAAAAAAATCCTGACAGAAAAATATTTTATTCATGCTTTATTTCTTTTTCATCTTTATTTCCCCCTAATACTTGATCTTATTTAGGACTAGTTATGTATAAACTAAAATAATAGAATTTGGTCTAAAATAACTTTTACCTTTTTGTTTCTTTACTTAGGGATAATGTCCACTGCTTGGGATTTATATGATTCTTATAATGCTACCGAGCTTTTATCTTTATCAGTAAAACAATCTGTAATTGATTCAAGTAATAAAACATGTATATTTCCTAAAGATCGGGACCAAAGAATGCTAGTGAGTACAGAAAAAAGTAAGCTTTTATTCATTTCCATTATTTTTGAATGATATTTTTGCATGACATTTTGAATAAATGATTTTTCAACAGTTATAATATTTTATTTCTGGTAGAACATGAAAAATACAACTTATACTCAGAAATAGCATTGTTATTCTTTCACATCATCTTGGACTATGAACTGAGAAATTAATTTTTTTCTTGAATACCTGTCAAGAATTTCAAGGATTCTTTCTCTAATGCTTCTTTCTTACTCTTAATTTCTCTTTCTGTGGAATTCATCCTTTACCCTTTTCTCTCTTCCTATTAATTAGAAGACTTACAAGGAAAAGAATACTCTGTAACAATTTAAATTATAAGTACATTAACAATAGTGGCTTTTAGTTGGGGGTGATTTTACCTCCCTAGGAATTATTGGCAGTATTTAGAGTCCCAATGTGTTGTATTTCGTGTGTACATGGTTACACTTTTAAAAGCAAAAAAGGGATGATAAACCCATATACAATAACTTCAAAAGTAATTTAAAAGGTATTTTATTTTGACATTGTAACCAGCTAAAAAGATGGGGGAGACCAGAACAAAAAGAGTTGGGGGAGGCATATAGAAACTAGAAATTAGAAAAAGGTGTAAAAATGTAGAACGGAATGAATGGCCAGTTTTATTGAGAATAGAAATGTTAATGTGCAGGCTGAGGTATGGTACCCTGAACCCCAAATTTATACACTCATTTCTCTCTCATTTATTTTTCTTCAGTTTTCAAAAGTTTGAGTAAGATATTCAGATAGATTTCTTTAGTTTAATCCTCTTTGGATTTATTCAGATACTTTAGTCTGCGTATTCTCCTTTAGTAAATATTTGAAATTTCCAGCTATTATTTCTTCAGATATTTTTTCCATCTCATCTCCTCTTCTTCATAAAGAATGGCAATAATACGAATAACTGATCTTTTGTTATAGTCCCACAGATATCTGAGCCTTTGTCATTTTTTTAGGTTAATTTCTTTCTGTTTTCCAGATTGAGTATTTTCTGTTGTTCACTCTTCATATTCACTGATTCTTTGCCATCTCTGTCTGTTGTTGAGCCTATCCATTGCATTTTAAAATTATGGCTGTTACTTTATTTTTAGTTCTAAAATTTTCATTTGATCCGTCTATTGTACTTTTCACTGTCTTTTTACTTCATATTGAGATTTTCTTGATTTTTGGTATGATAAATCACTTTCAACTAAAAGTAAGTAAAAAATGTTGGGTATTATATTTGGAAAGAATGGATCTTTTTTTAAGCCTTCCATTTTAGAAGATTTTATTTAGCTAATCTGGCGGGGAAAGTACTACCAGGTAAGAGTAGAACTCTATATTCTCCATGTGACCTCTAGTGATATAGAGGCAGAGAATCTCCTCATTATTCCTTATTGCTGCTGGGCACAGGTGGAAGGAGAACTCTTGTTTCCGTTGATAGATCTATGGCTGAGCAAGATAGGAGTACCTCATTACCACTGCACAAGAGGCCTTTCATGATACCAGATTGGGAGTTGTCCTTATTACTGATGGGCAGAAATATAAGTTTTTACTCTTTACCAGTTTAATTCTGACTATTCTAGTGAGGAAAAGAAAGGGTGCAATAGAAGTATAGAATTCTGTGTCCCTCAGTTGGTTTCCACTGACATTGCTAATAGGCAGCATGGTTATTATTATGGTTGGTAAGGATGAGTGTTGTGTCTCCTTCCTGAGTCTTCTCTGACACCACAACCCCTGGAGCACTGGGAAATTGGGATGCCTTTTTTCACCCTGACAAGGGTAGAAGTCTAGGTTCCCCATTTTGCCTTTGTAACTTTCATGGGACTATACTTTTTTCTTTTGTATTTGTGTGGAGTAATATGGTTAGCAACTGAAGTTTTCTTGTTCTTGCAATACTGTCCTTTTCCTGGTTTTTCGAGAAGTTTATTTGAGGTGTTTCATTGTCATCTGTGCCCATTTGTGATTCCAGTTTCCTGACTTACTGAGTTCCTTCTTATCTGGAATATATGAGACAAAAAGAAAAATCAGGAAGCTCACTACTGTATAATTTTTTACTTACTGGAGATTCTAGTTACCCTTCTCTCAACAGCTTTCAAGGGCTTTCTATGTTTGTTTTGCATATAATTTCTAAGTTTATTTATATTTAGCAGAGGGAATAGGGAACAGAGTATCTACTTGATGTTCACAAAAACAAGACCCCCTCTTTCTAAAATAAGATTTTTCTAATTGGTAAACTGAACTGAATAATAGTTCCCCAAATATTTTCATATACTAGTCCCTGCAACCTGTGATAATAATACATAGCAAAAAAGATTTTCCAAAAATGACTATGTGAAAGTTCATCAAAGAAGGAAATTATCCTGGATTATGTGATTAGGCCCAATCTAATCATAGGTTCTTAAAAGGAAAGAACTTTTCCCAGCTGTGGTTGGAGAAAGAGAGAATATGACAAAAAATCAAAGAGATACAATGGTGCCTTCTAAAAAAGATGAGGAAAGGTTGGGGGTAACCTGTAGGATTTGGAAAGGCAAGGAAATTTATTTTCCTCTAGAGCCTCCAGAAAAGATCATGATCTTTCCTTTAACATTGTTTTGTTCCAGTGAGACCCTGTGTCAGATCTCTTAACTTATAGGTCTCTGAGACAATAAATTTGCATGACTTCAATCCACTGTTTTTTTGTAATTTGTTATAGCATCAACAAAAAATGAACACATTAGTATTCTTATAAAACTAAAATACAATCTTACCTTTATATGAATAGGTATTATATTATATGATAATATTATTTAAATTTAAGTAAAATTGTATCAAGATACAAATTACTGCATTACTATCATTGCTCATCTTGTAAAAACTACATCTTTGAGTGGTTAAGAAGTCCAAAATGACATATATTTTTGCCTTTCATGTGTGCTTAGTTCATAACAGATACTCAATAACTGTTTGCTTAAGTTGTTAAGTGCTGGAGGAAAACCAAATGATCATCTGAAAGTTTGAATTCATGAACCATTTAATTTTATGGATTATTTTATCATTGCATCATTGTTCTGTTTTGCAGCTAGTGAAGCTAGTTCTCTAATTGATATAGAAAATGTAATTCTGGCTAAAATTCAAGATGATGAAGAAGACCACTCAGATGCAATATTAAAGTCAGAGCGGTTTAATCAAGACTTATTTTTTATGGAAAGAGTACTCATGGAAAATATATTTCAGCCCAAACTTGCAGCTTATCGTCAGCTTCCTGTTTTTAAAGGTATTATAAAAATGAATTACTTTTATTTTTTGGTCATTTTATCTCTATGTTTATGTCTCCCTATATCTGTTGATCTAATTATGTATATATGTATCTGTCATCTATTTTTGTAGCTTAATTTTTTCCATACACCATCTCTTATGCCTCTTTCCCCTTTCCTCCCTGGCTACTCTCTCTTTACCACAGAGACCTCACTTCACTTATGAAGTCCACTAGTAAGTATTTTGCATTGTTGCATTGCCTCCTGTATCCCCAAATGTCCACTATTTGTCATCCTGACATAATTCTCTCAAACTCCTTCCACTTTTTTATTTTTTGGTAAATGTCAATACTTTGTCTTTCCTTCCCTTTGAGATCCACATCTTGACTCAGTCCTGTGTCATGGCCACTAAGATTGTTTCCATGTCCTTGCTATTTTGAATAATGCTGCAGTAAACATTGCAGAGCATATAATTTTCTGAGTTGTTAGTTCCATCATGGATGGATGCTGAAGAGTTGCGTTCTGGGTCCATTTTTAGTTTTCTTATGTAAATAAAAATTATTTTCTAAAATGGCTGCACTCATTTACATTCCCACTAGTAATATAATAGGGTTTCTCTACCTGTGCATCCTCTCTAGGACTTATCGTTGGAAGTCTTTTTAATGTGTGAGTTGATATCTCATGTGGCTTTGACCTGCACCATCATCCCTCTATTAAAAAGAGGGATGAGGGCCCTCCCTGGTGGCACAGCGGGTTAAAGCACAGCACTGAGAAGCTAAAGCCACTTCCACATGAGTTGATTCCCGCCTGCCCCAGAGGAGACCACATGGCGTGGCAGACCTCTCCTGACCTGCCCGCTGCTCCCCTCAGCAGTGTACTTCGTAGATCTGCCTGTTTTGCTCCCCACTCTGTCTCTGGTGAAGCCTCTCACCACCCCTGAGCCTCTGACCTGTACCCCAGTTCTGTATGAACAAATAAATAAATCTTTAAAAAAAAATAAATAAAAAGAGGGATGAACATTTCCCCATATATCTACTGTCCTTCTTGATATCCTCTTTGGTGAATTGTCTGTTCATATCTTTTGCTCATTTATTAATTGGTTTGTTTGTTTTATATTGTTGAATTGTGTGAGTTCATAGATATTAACTTCCTATCATTATTTTCTTCCATTAAGTAGGCTATCTTCTTACTTATTTTTATCTTCTGTCACTGTGAAAAAGCTCTTAATTTGAGGTAATCACAGTTATTTATTTTTTGTCTTGACTTCACTTGCTACAGGGTTTGAGTCTCCAAAAACATCCTTATCATTAATGTCATGAAACACATTGCTAATGTCTTATTTTAATGTTGTGGATTTTATATCTAATTATTCAATCCATTTAGGATTTATTTCTGTGCATGGAGCTGGACAGCAATCAAACTTAATCCTTTTACATGTGGCTCTCCAGTTCTGGCAGCACCATTTGTTAGAGACTCTCCTATCCCCATTGTGTGTTTGTAGCTCATTTATTATGAATTAAGTATTGATATTTATGTGGGTTTATTTCTGGACTTTTGAGTCTGTTCCATTAGTTCATGTGTTTATATTTAATGCCAATACCACATTGTTTAATTACTATTGCTTTAGTATAGTTTAGGGTCATATAACATGTCACATCCATTTCTTTCAAGATTGTTTTTGCTACTAAAGGCATTTGTGCCTCCATAGATATTTTAATATTTTTTGTCCCACTACTTGAATATCTTTGTTATTTTGATGGTAATTGCATTAATTTTTTATGTTGTTTTTGCCATGATTGTCATTTTGTACTCATCTGTGAGCATACAATGTCTTTCCATCTCCTTAAATCATAATCTAAATTCTTTAATGTTTTACAGTTTTCATTATATCAGCCCTTCACTTCCTTGTTAAGGTTAACTACTAGGTATGTTATTCTTTTTGAAGTGAGTGTGAATAGAATTATTTTCTTAATTTTCTTCTTGTCTGTTTGTATATAAAATTGTGGCATTTTTTTATATGTTGCTTTAGTAACCTGCCATGTTGCTGTATTCATTTATTTTTTAATAGTAACTTTTGGTGTAGTCTTTAGGATTTTCAATATGTAACATCATATCATCTTAAATAGTGTGATTTATCACCTCTTTTCCAAGGTGAAATTCTTTTACTCCTCTTGTTAGGTTTCTCTGCTCAAGCCTCTACTATTAAATTAAATAGTAGTGGTGACCATGGGATATTGGCCTGAATTTTCCTGTGCTCTTTTTATCTGACTTCAATATTAGGGCAATATTGATCTCATAACATGTTTATGGAGCATTCCCTAAACATGTTATGAGCAAGATACATGTAATTTCCTTAAAGGTTTGACAGAATTTACTTATAAATACCATTTGATTCTGGGTTTTGTTTTTGTGGAAATTTGTGATTGTTATTTCAGTTTCCATCATTATGATCTTCTGTTTCTTCCTGGTTTAGTCTTGGTAAACGGTATTATTTTACAAATTTATCTGTTTCTTCAAGTTTACCAAATTTATTTTTTGGAGTTATTTATAATACTCTTTTATGATCCTTTGTGTTTAGGGCCATCTGTGGTAATTTCTCCTTTTTTTATTTCTAATTCTGCTTATTAATATTTTCTCTTACTTTTTAGCCTATCTGGAGGTTTATTGATTTAATCTTCTTGAAGAAACAACTTTTAGTTTCACGGCTCTTTTTTACAGTCTCCTTTAAGTCTCTAATTTACTTTCACTCTTATTTTTATTATTTCCTTCCTTCTACTAACTTTAGGTCATAATTGTTCCTCTTTTACCAATTTCTTTAGGTGTAAGTAATATTGAGTTGCCTACTTGGGGTTTTTCTTGCTTTTAATTGTAGCAGATTTCTTCCCTCTTAAGATCACTTTCACTGCATCTCATTGAAAGTGGGATTAGATTCTTGTAACTTGTATCCTCATTTCCATTAATCTTGAGAGTATTTTCTGATTTCTATTTTAATTTCCCTTTAATCCAATGGCTATTAAGCCTCATATTGTTTAGTCTCCATGTACTTATAGTATTCCATCTTTTTTGGTTTTAGTTGATTTATAACTTTATGTTCAGAAAAAATACTTGGTATGATTTCAATTTTTGTAGCTTTATCGAGGACTTGCTGTCCCAACATATGGTCTATTATTGAAAATGTTCCACTTGAAAAAAATATGTTTATAGTAGTTTTGGATATTATGTAGACATTTGTTAAGCCTGTTTAGTCTAGCGCCATTGTTGTTAAGTAGATTATTAAAATTTCCTGGTACTATTGTACTATTTTCAACATCTCGCCTTATTTCTATTAATTATTATCCTATATATCTTAGTGTTTCATCATTTGGCTCATATATATTTAGAACTATGATTTCTTCTAGTATTAGGCCTTTATTTGTAATGTAATATTCCTCTCTATTTCTTATTATCCTTTAATAACTGGAAAGCTATTTTACCTGATATATGTATAGTTATTTCTGACTTTTTAAAAAATTACTATTTGCTTATGGGATTGTATTCTAGCCTTTAATGCGACGTTTGTGTTTGTCTTTGTTGGTAAGATGTGTTTGTTATAAACAACATAAGGATGGACTTTTTTGTTTTCTTTTTCCTCTTTTTTTTAATCAAAGTAACATTGGTTTACAATACTGCATGTATTCAGAGGTACAGAGTCACATACCTCTTCAGAGGTATGTTACTGCACAACACCTGCTGAAAATTACTTTATATCTTTTAAATATTGACATCAAACTATTTCCATTTATGGTGATTATTGAGATATTTGAGATATAAGTATTTATTACTATTTTGATATTTAAATTTTTTTAGTTTTTTTTTTGACACCATTTAATGTTTTCTTTCAATTGTATTTTTGTTGTCTTAATGTTTACTTCTGTTTATTTTTATTTGGAAGTTTTACTGAGGTTAGTATATAATGGACAATTTTTGCCACCCATTGAGTAGTCTAATCTCAGATTTCTACTGGATATGTTGTTACTCTCCTCCTCCATGATGTCTTATTTGGTGTTTGTTACCTCTATAATTGTTGTTTTGTTACTGTATAACTACTTTAGTACCTCTTTCCCAGCTTAGTGTTGATAAATTATTTTAGTTTTTTTCTCTTTAGTAAATTTCTGATCCTTTTTTCTCTCTTAAATGATAATCTTCAAGTGTCATGAATTCTAGGCTGGAAATAGTTGCCTCTGAGTTCTCCAAATATCTCTTATATTGTTTCTTGCCTGCTATGTTTTATATGCTAAAGTCCATGGGCAGTCTAACTGGTGTTCCCTTATAGGTTACTCTTATTTCTCCCAACAATTTTTATATTCTGTCCTTGTCATGACTTTCAACAGTTTTATTATAATGTGTTGTGGAGTGTGTCAATCTGGTGTCATTTTGTTTGTATCTCCTTGTGCCCGTTGGATCAAAACAACTGATTCATTTCCCAGATGTAAATGGTTATCAGCAATTACTTCTTTAAATAAACTTTCAAATCCTTTCTCTTTTTCTTCTTTTCTGAGACCCTGTGATATGGATATTTCTCTTTCAATGATTCCCAAATCTCTTATACTGTTTTCATATTTTTAATTATTTTTTCCTTCCTGTTCTTCTGTTTGTTCCTTCTCTGAAATTGTATTTTCAAGCTTACTAATGTTCCCGATGCTAACATTTGTCCACTGTTGAGGCTTTTTATGTTCCAGACTGACAAACATACTTAAATAAAATAAGTTTGCTGTGTTTAGAATTTTATATAAATGCAATTATATAGTCTATACTCTATTATGTCTGGCTTCTTTTTCACTGTATAAAATTATTTTTAGATTCACTCATGTTGTTTCATGTGTTATAGTTGTGTTTTGTTATGTTTTTTTTTAATCCAACTTTTTATTTATCATTACTGAAAGTCTGATTTTTAAACAGATTCTTGAACTGGTGGTTCATATCCATCAGCTCGTTCAACTTTAGCCCCTTTTTCATCACCAGTAGCTTTTCCAGAACTGCT